TTTCTCTGTTTCTCCAAACTTTTGCTGATAGAGAGCCCAGAATTAATCTTGAGGTCTTTTGGGTATTGGATTACACTCTGCCATGCTCCTTTCTCTGCCAGTAGCGCTGGAACTGGCCTGGGATGCTAATCCTGTCATACCTATTCATGCAGCTGTTGAAGCAAGTGCATGAAAACAAATTGCTAGTCCAAGCTAAATTTAGATTTATTCAGTTGGAGTTAATTATAATCTTTATTTAGTCCCAAGTGTTGCCTTCTTATCATACACTTATTATAGCTGAGAAAATTAATTTTTAYTTTACCATAAAGGTGAATGTAATAATCTGGATTCAGGGAGGGGATTACTTTAATAAGATTTATAGGCAGCTTTTCAGACAGTACAGTTTTATTACTATCTGTAGGTGGCCTTACTATATGCATGTCTTTCAGTATGGGTGACTGTGCAAAATGAATGCAAGCTAAAAATATAGTAAGTACCAGCTCATAAACTTTCGCACACGACAATATTTTTGCTAAGGTGTGCGGGCAAAGCATTCGACTTGCTTTAGAATACAATAATACAGTTTATTAGTGAACTTGTGGCTTCATCAGGGGTTTCATCATATGCAGGATTTAATTTTACAGTGAGAAAAATGTATTTCAGAAGATGAAGGGTTTCTGGGAAAGGAGTTTTTTGTTTGGAAGCAGGGGAGTGATGGGCAAATAGACATAAAATGTAGGAGAAGCTTCAGCAAAGAAGGAAAGGGCTTTGTCCTTTGCCTTTAGACATTGAACCGCTAAGATCAATGTCCAAGAAGGCCACCTTTAGTGCTCTGAAGTCTGTGGAGAGATGGAGACTCCTCCCAAGGGTGATTTATCACCTGCTGAGATATAAGTGTCTAGGAAAGGATAAATGAACTCTGGAGAGACCTTCTTTGTGATTTACCGAGAGGGTAACCTGGAGTGTGGTGGGTGTAGATAGGTGGTGATGTGGGTCCAGCCCATYCACCCTGTGTGGCTATTTTATTAAACGCTGAATGAATCGGGGTTGGCATGAGTGGGGCATTCACCGAGGCACCTTAAAAACTTGGTACAGCCCATGTTTATGCTAGTTGTGGTGCCCAAATGAAACTTCATCTCACAGTAAATTTCTGCAACATGATCATCATTTATTTTGCAGTAAAGTTTGAGAGTTGGAGAAACTTGCATTTTGCAGTATCCCCAGCTGTACCTGGGCAAGGGTTGTGGGCAGGCACCATCCAGAACAATATTCCCATGGGACAAATCATTGCGTGTCTCCTCTTGTGGCTGTGGCCTGCGGCAATAATTGGCTCTTAACCCTTGTGTGCATAAAAGTGACCTACAGAGCTATTCCAGAATTAATTAGTCTGCTGTAATTTAGTAGTTCTAGAATAGCTTTCCATGTGAAGAGACTCTATTCAGGGCTACAATGTGTTTTTATTCTAGGATAATGCCTGCATTTCCAGAGCAAAATAATTATTATGAATAGGGCCTTTTTTATATTGGAATAATGTACGTGTATAGTTTGGTCTTTATGGCCTGTAGTGAGGGCTGGTGATTTTTCTCCTATACAGACAAGCCATTGATTGCTTCTGTGTGAGTCATGGATAACATCACAGCACTTACTGGCACCACATTACTTGAAATTATTCTTCTTTTTCAAAGAGGAGTGTCTATATGATCTCATGCTGCAATTCTGATGCTGCTGCTGCAAAGATGAATTTTCTCATATTCAGTTTTCACAGGTGCAGAGTTGGATTTCTTGTTTGTTTTCAGGAAAGCAAATATCGGAAAAGCTGCATATTTTAAGCACTTCCTATTTCTCACACCTCCCACTTCTGAATTACTAAGACATTAGAAACTTAGTTCCTGGTAAGTAATTAGCTGRGCTGGAGGTAAGATTTAGATTAGAAATTTGGTTTTATGCTGCAAAAAGAGTATTTTTGTCTTCAGTTATGAAAATATAAATTTTAAAGTCTTCCCCCCTCACACTATAGCTTAATAGAGAAGCATTAGTTTATAATGCTGACCTCCCATTGCCACTGCTCCTTATAGGAGACTATTTGTTTTGCTCGTTAGAGTTTATGAAATCTAAGAAATGTAGCATGGATTAATTTTTGTGTTGGGTGAATATCAGGCTTTTATTACACAGCGTGATCTATAGCCAGGGGCTTGCGTGTGCCCTAGTTTTGTGCTGCGTTTTATGTCCTCAGACCAGGATCAACTGGTATATCTTGATTTAAAACAAAAATAGTGGATTTTTTTTGTTACAGTTAAATAAGAATTCCTAGGACAAGGCAAAGCAGGTTCCATGTAAGGGAATATCTGGAGGGAAGACTGGATAAGATCTGGAAGGGAAGATGTAAGGGAAGATCTGGATATGGGGATCTGGAGGGGAGATTCCCCTCTGTTGACAGCATTGTGGGGCTGGTTACTGTGATTTCCTCACTCTGCTTCCTCGGAAACATCAGGAATGAGTTTGTCCTCGATGTGCAACCTCCAAGTTTGAAGGGTGGTTCCTGTTTGRGAGGTGGGGGAAGAGGGGTGGACATGAAAGGAGAGAGATGACATCTTGAAGCTGACCTGTCCCTCCAGGGCTTTTATTTTTTGGCTAGTCCAGATAGAGGTGTTTCAAAAGGGTCAAACCATCATCTGCAGACCTTCACTGAACATCTTAAGTTATGGTTGAGCCTGTGATTTCCCTCAGTGCCCTAATCCCTGAGGAACGACTGGCCTTGGAAACAGCCCCAGGCCTTGGGGATGCTGCTGCAGGCCTCTGTCCCCTTTGCCTCATCTCTTGCCCTTCCTTGCCTAATAATGAGGACTAACCCATGCTCTGATCTGCCCTCTCTTGATCTTGCTGGAGTGGTTATTAACAGAGCAGATGATTTATCGGTTGTTTTGTTGCACATCAGAGCTGGAACCATGGCCTGTTCCTGACTCGCTGTTGGGGAGATTGATGCGGTGGTGCTGACTTGCTGAATTAAAAAGGCGGGTGTTGGCCTGCCATTGTATGAAGTATTTCTTTTTAGATGTTCCTACAGCCTCATAAAACGCTACTAAATTCAGATATCATATTTTGTTGCGGGCTAGTTCTAGGACAAAGCCTAGCCCTGTCTACTAGTGTTTATGGCTGCCCATATAAGCTTTCAGACAAAATTTGTGTCTCATTTTGTTTGAATTATAGTGGGCTGATATCCTAGGCCTCATACCGGTTCTCCAAAAAAGGCACGGAGTGTTGCCACTGTAATGAAACCGACGGAAAGGAAACTCATCCCTTTTAAAGTTCCTGTAAATCAGTTCCCAAGGGAAATAAAATATCTGCATAAAGGTGGGGGGGAAGCTATAATGTAAATACAAATGTACTTAAGCTTTGCCTCTCTTCCAGTTTTTCTTTAGYCCCTGGAATGATGTCAGTGTTTAAATCTCTTCATCAATCTGGTGGGGTTTGGGAGGAGCCAGTTTTTGCTSTTCTCCTAGAGATTGGAGGGTTCTGCTGCTGCTCGAGGTCCTTTGCTTATMTGTATGGAAGCCCAGGTTTTATGATAAATGAGACGTCTCAAAAGTATTGCTTTCAAATATGGCTGGATTTATCTACAATTAATTAATGCRGGAAGGTGCTTGTCTGCGTTTGGCTTTTCAGCAATGAAACAGCTCTTCTCATCCCTGCCTGAGSTTAGGCGGGAGCAAAGTTCAGCCTTGAGTGACTGTGAGATCTGCTGGGTGAGCTGGGCTGTGGAAAGGGGCTCTATAAATACCAGAACCATAACGGAGCTGCTAAAACTTTTCCTTGGTGACTGTGGTGGTGGAATTGGCGTCAGTCTCCTTTATTTTCCTGCTACAAGCAGGGCGAGATGTGTCCCACAGTGATACTTCCAGCCTGCTTTAGCATTCAGGGTGGGAGAAAAGCATTGGTGCTTCCACCCGAGTATCCCAAAACTGCAGAACTGTGGCTAGGCTGCAGGGACCTGTGGCAGCTTTGCCCTCAGTGTCCTCTGTCGTCCCCTCATTACTGCTGCCCGTTTTGGGAACACTTCATTTCAATTCATTTTGTTTCTCTTTGTTTCTCCTGTGTTGGTCCCAGGAGTTTGCATTCATCCTTTCTTTCTGTTAGAACTGCAGCCCTGGTAGAATGTACCTCACTATTAATTAGAGATAGACCCAAGTTGCAGACTTCTATTGGATACATCCCTCCCTCTGGAATCTTTGTTGCCCAGGAAAAATTGCTCTAGTGCTGGCTGGAGGATTGACCATTGTGTGTTAGAGTAATGTCTGCGAGCTCCAAATGTGTTTTGTTCTCTGCTGGAATTAAATATCTTTCTATGCCTTTGTGAACCTTCTGCATGTGGAAGATTCCTCTCCTTTGCACAAGTTCACCCCTGCCTGTAAGTCCAGTCCACTGAGACCTCTATCAAACCCTGTCTTTTTCTTGTATCAAGTGTTTTTTCAAGAATATGAAGGGTTTTATCCATTTGCAGCCAAATTATCCTAACTTAGTTTTGTTTGCTTAGTTTCAGCCCATTATGTATTGTGTGTTAGTAATGTTAGTCTAAAGAAAAAATATTTTGTTTTACTGTCTACTCATCTGCAATACGGTGGGTGTTTATGTGTATTGAGATGTGGATGGGAACAAGTCTTAAGTTGGGTTTGGCTGTAAAAGAATGAAAGCCAACCAGAAAAAAAAAAAGGAAAYTAATGCAAGACCCAGCATCATCACTCAGTCTCCCCTCCCTGCTTCATCTATAACTTGTTAAATGACTTTAAAGCTGTTTTTAGATGGGGGAAGGTGACAAGGGAGCTGTACAGCCAATATAACAGGRTATGTTAAGTGTATTGGCTTTTAGTAAAAATGTTTATTCAATTGTATGGACGTCAATTTATTTCATATTTGTTGCTAATGCTGATGGTCTCTAACAAGACGCTGKTTTTGAGAGAGGTGGAGGGCTGTGCTAAGCAAGCATCTGAGYTGGCTTTCTGTTTGCTTTTGTTTTTGGCCTGCAGTGGCGGAGAGCCGAGGAGGGATCATGGACAGCGTGCAGAGATTTTCCAACCTGCCAACGTATCTCCCTGTGAGCTCCCACATCAGCAATGCTGATGTCGTCTTCTTCCTCAAAGAAGCCAACCAGGATATCATGAGGAACTCCAGTTTGCAGACTAGGGTGGATTCGTTCTTTATATACAAAGCCAAACTGCCACCTATCCTAAATGCCACGTATGGACCTTTTTCTGTTGAACAGCCTGTTCCTTTGGACCTCATGCTGACTACTGCATCTTTTGGGTTCACAGACGAATTCTCTTTTAATTGGAAATTAAAATCGCACATACTTGAAAGCTCAATATATTCCAACAAACCTAAAATACAAACCTTGTTCTATATTGTGGGGAAGGACTGGGATGACTACGACTCTGCGGAGACGCTGCCTTGCGTGAAAATGTTTGCTTTCCTGGAGTCTAGAGAAGTTGTGGCCAGCTGTAGGTTGAAAGGCCACCTGGGATTATGTGTTGCAGAGCTGGAATTGTCTCCTAGCTGGTTCAGCTCCCCTTCACCCCTGGTTTCAGAGCCAATGGCCTCCTTGGAAGGGATTACTGTGGAGCTCTTCTATCAGATTTATGCAGCGGATGGGGAGTGTTCTCCTGAGGATGCAGCATGGGAAAACAATATCCATGCGGGTGAAGATAATGAGCATAAGGCCTTGCCAGCTATGGAGAGGATTGGTAGCATCGTTGTTTACCCAAATCAGGACAAATTAAAGCAGTCTGCRTTGAGGCTGGATGATAACATCGTGATCCACTTACCAGTTAGTCCTGTGAAAGAAGGCGAGGTTGTAACCTTTCATGTTTCCCTTGCTGAAGACTCCCTAGCAGACCAGTTTGTGCTAAGGTAAGTGAATTTCTAAAGTGGCGTCTAATAAGCAGCCTACAAATAGGGACAAATGAATTCCTGTAATTCCTTTGACTACTTTCAATGTTTTCTTTGAGAAAATGTCATCATTTGCTCTCCGTTTGAGGAAAACGGTAGACGGTGTTGAGTATTCTGTGTAAATAATACTTTCTGGAACGTGGAAATTGATTGTAAAGTGTGAGCTATTAGTGTTTGTATGATATTCTTTGTTTTAATTCTATTTGCTTTTAGCAATAATTGCGCCTTTGCAAATTCTGCCTCTAAGYCACTCAGAATAACTGTTCTGGTCTGTTTTGCTAGACAATTTATYTGGTGTTTTCCATTGCGTTGGTGAAGCTTCCTCTTCTTTTATAAAGCTTTTAAATAGTATGTGGGTATTTCCAAAGCATTTGGATACTTCTTGCTGTGGTCCTATACAATGGTAAATTATTTCACAGTGTGAAGAGAAAATGAGACATGCCGATGACTGTGTAGGAAATATGTGGCATGATTTAGACCTAGACTTYGTGTGTCCCAGTTTGGTTTTGAAGCAGAACAGCCTTCGTTGTGCTTTTGACTGCCTGTTGCGTGGCCCATTTCTGTTTTAAGTCTTGAAAATTTCTGGTGACTTTTCCTCATAAGAGGATTCTGGCCCTTCCAGCCACCCAGAGGGTTAGTGCTGCWTATTCGTTACGTCCTTAGCTGTCAAACTCTTGGCTCAAAGCTATGCAGAGACCACATTCCCCARGAAATGGGACTTGGGAAATAAAAGGGCCAAAAGGTAATTTGCAAGTGTCATGTGCTGTGAGAATGCCAGAGGCTCGGGAGGGAAGGAGGTGCAGCAGGCACGGGCAACCTCGGAGCAGATTCCTCCCTTCCTCCTAACTGTGATCCGAGGCGATGGGGGCAGAACATGAGAGAAGTGCACTTTAGGGACAGATGTTGAAAAAACAAAAGTAAGCCTTATGCAGTGCTCCCAAATCATTCAACTTTTGTGAAAGAGCATTTCCGTATTAATAAACTTGCAGATTGCAGGCTGAATCGGGGAAAGCTCTTCAGTGCTGCGTGCAGAGRAAGAAGAGGAAATGGCTCACGCATCCCACATCTCATGTCATTTGGCTTAACCAGACTTCAGATGTTTTGGGTCAGGAAGGCCTTCCTATAAGACTAAGTTATTTTGTAATTGYCCATGCGTGGGTTTGCTGAGTTTTATTTGATGAACTTGGCTTTGGCCAGCATCAAGAAGATGCACTAGATGGACCAACCCCACAGGTAGCTGGGCTTCCCCTGTTGTTCTGTTGTGATTTGCAAAGCTAAAACACCAATTACAGAGTCTGCCTAGGGCTGTACAAGTATCTTACATGAGCTTTTAATTCTGAGGAGTTTTTGGTTCTTTGCCTCACTGCAGTTAAAATATTGTGGATATTGGCAACAACCTAAGACTAGGGTTTGGTTTTGTTGGAATTTCTAAAAGATTTTGTATCTTGGAAYAAGCAGCACGAGCAAATAAGAGTTATTGAAGTTCTAGCAAAGGAAAAAGTAAAGGTGTGTGGGGAAGAGCTTTTGGAAGCCCTTCCAGCTCATAGAACTAACCGAAGGTTTGGAGGAACCACCAACTGAGGCAGCCAAGAGCTTGGAGTGAAGGGCTGCAGGAGCTGGGAGAGCTTCAGCTTGTCCTGCACGGCGGTGGCGTGGGGGGCTTCCCACTCAGCGTGGGGACCCTCCTGCTGCTCTCCCAGTGCTGCACAGTGTGCGTGTTCAGGCTCCTGAGCTGCCAGCAAGGCAGGCGGGTTTCCATGGGAATTTCCCTCTTTAAGCAGCAGTGGAATCAGTTAATCTCCAGGAAATGTTTCGGTTATGATAAATTAGCATGGTTATGTGCACAGAAATACTCCTTAGGGCCAATAATGAATTTTCCTATGTAGCTTGGCCTGTCCCATCTTGTGTTTTGGCTTTGTATTTTGCTTTTTCATCAGATGAACTGCAGGTATTTTTATCTAACCTTCAGTTAAATGCTGAAGGTAAGAGGCAGAATGCAGCTCTGCTGTTTGCTCATCCTCCAGGGTGGAAGGAGCACCAGCAGCTGCTTTTAGGAGCACTTCCAATTGCGTACTTTGGGCCCATAGAGAGTTTATCCAGCTGGAGTTTACCCAGTAAGCAGGGAATTATGCTGAGGAAAATACAATCACTGTAGCACCTATGTGTAATTTATGCAGTTTGCTTACCAGGCAGTCCCTATTTTTCAYCTCACTGCTCATGTCCATAAAAACCCACAAGGTTTTTACATACATAGAATTTTTGTGTGCACTAGCTAGAAAAATATACATTCAAGTGAATGTTTGCTTTGGGAAATATATTTTTGCCCAATATAACTGATTGTTTTTAACAATCTTTTATACATGGAGTGGAGTGTATTCCAGAGTGGCTCATTCCTGAGACAATAGATCCAAATCAAGTGGTGCTCAAAGCTGCCTTGGATGCAGACCTCAGAGCTCTGRCATTGTACAGAAAGAGCAGATATGCTCAGTTTTATGAACTTCTTTATTTTTGCATGGTAGTATTGCTGTGTAGTATATTATGTTAGATTTTGTTCTAGGAAAATGGTTTAAGTGAATAAAAGATTCTTCCTTSGTTAATTCTGGGTTCTTAATCCAGCTTGGAAGTTGGGAAGCAATAGGGAGCAGTTTYTTGGTTGATATTGTTCTCTGTGGAAAGATAGAACTTGCAGCAGTTTGGGGTTAAGAGGGAAWATATGAAGTTCCATCTATCAATTCCAGCCCATACCATCAGCTCAAACTACTTTTGCTCTTCTTAAACTAAAGTTTTGCTTTTAATACAATAACTGGAATTTAAGCTTGAGCTGAAGCTTCAGTTTTGCTGTGCTTCAGAGAAATTTGTTTCTTTATGGTGCAATCCAGGCAGCATGCACTGTTGTAATTAAAAGACTTGTATATGTCAAGGGCAGAATTTGGAGGCTAAGCGTGCATTTGATGCTTTTGCTGTGTCTGATATTCATATTGCTCGTTTTGGTGACAGATGATCTTATACATGTGTGTAATAATTCTTATGACTCTAGAGATTAATTTGTGGCCCTCTTGGTCTGGTCCATACTGTAAAATTTGCCATCTGTGAACATAAATTCTGCCTGTTATGTTAGGTGGGCTGCCACTGAAAATATTTTGCCATAAAAATAGGCAAAATGGGTTATGTTGCCATGATTAAACTTTTTTATGGGCTACCTATTTAAAAAAAAAAAAAAAGGTGGAGGAAACACTGCTTTGAGAATCCTGCAGAACTAATACAGGCTCCAGTGTCAGAAATAGTGATTGGCTTCATGTCTTTTCCTGCATGGGGATAAAGAAGTCTCTTGATATACATGGAGTAGCAGACATGGGAGAACAAAGTAATCCTTGCTCCATGTGAAGGACAGAAATCTCACCAGATAGTCTTTGGGAATGGTTTCCAATTTTTTTAACTCCATCTTGAGACTCAAAAAGCGATTCTTTTTTTTTTTTTAAAAAGAGTCATTTTGTATAGCAAGAAAACACCTAATGGAAGAACTGGAAGTTACTTAGGAGGAAAGAAAACACAACTCCCTATTTCTAAATAAATAGTGGAATTTCTCTTCCATTTTCCAAGTCGCTCTGTTCAACCTGTCAGCAAAGATATAACCCTAATGAAGCCCAAGCACTAATAGCAATTTGTCGAGTCATCTGCAAAAAGCAGGTTTGTCAGCACTCGTTACACAGCCCKGATGCGAAATATCCCGTCATTCCCCATCAGAATAGATGCAGCAATTGGAGATATTCCAAGAATAATAGGAAGGAGCTGAGATCAGGTAATGAATCCTATGCTAGGCAGATGAAAGAGGCTTCGGTTGGGATGCAACCTGCTCCATCTGGAGAGGGATGGCGGGACTGTGCAAAGAAAGCTGGCTGTCATTCGGTGCCTAGGCAACCCCAAGGAGAGGATTATGTGCATATCTGTGCCATGCTCTGYATATTGCAGGGCAAAAATTCCTTTCTGCATTTTATTAGATGAACCAATAGAAGGTGTAATACACACGGGTTGGCTTTTTCTGATTATTCTCACTAGGAAAAATGATATTAAGGATTTATATTAATAAACATATATCCATATGGAGGAGGCTGTGTCTCCTGCTAAGGAATAAAAATTGCACAGGCCATTAAAACTGACTTACAAGGCTTCTGCGTTAATAATGAAGGATCTGTGGAAGTCTGAGCAGTCGTCTAGGAGGCCAGGAAAAGATCATTAACAGGATGTCTCCTGCCAATAGCTGCCAAGAGCAGACATGGGAACGAGAGCAGAAGGTTTTAGATCTGGAAATGCATAGGAGATGAGAGGGTGCATTGCCAGATGTGGAACGGGCTCCGGGTGGCTTCCTTGCTTGCAACCAAGCTGCTATGAAGCAGAAAGCAGGGTGGGACTATGACTGGCTAGAGAAATGTGATGMTGAATTGGAACTTTACTTCATGATGAAAATCCAGCATAAGGGAAAGTACTGGCAAGGGAAAAGATACACTTCTCAATTAATCAGAAGTGCTAATTCAGATTTAGAAATAATTGTGAATTAAATAATTGCTGGAGCCATGGGAATAYTTGTTTTTAACCTGAAGACATTAATAAACCCAGGATGAATATGGAAATAGGTGATTTTCTTCTTTCCTCTGCATCAAACTAAAAATACAAAACAATGATTAAAAACTACTAATCATYACAAAGTCTAAAAATACTAGAGATGTCTGGATTGCCTTAACTCAGTCCTCATGTCTGTGTGCACTGGAACGTCCTCCTTAAAGAGAGAATCCTACTGCTTTGTTCAAGGTCTACTACCTCATTCAGTGCATAGATGATCTTGCTGCCTCCATTTCCTTCTCTCCATCTTTGAATGGAAGAGGGAGTGACRTCTGCCTAGGACTCTCTTCCAAAGAAAGGTGTGGGAGAGCTGTCTCCAGCTTTTATTTATTTGAGCTTGGCTC